GTGATCGCGAAAACTAACCTGACCGCTAAAGAAATTTTCTAGCTGTCACGCTAGTTTTCGTGATCACGTTAAAAAGGCTAAATTGACAATTACATGTAATTATAATTTTTTGTAAAACAAAAAAGAAGTCCCGACTTCGCCAGTCTACTACTGATGCTGATCTGTTTCACATATCTCAGGCCACCAGCTGTTTCCTGTTCCTGTTTACCCACGGACACTAAATGATGCTGACTTCACTGCGAATGCAAAAAAAACATCCCTGGAGAAAGAGAAACAATGGACCAGGGTGGTAGGAATTTGTAACCTACTATAAAGACGCGTTGTGTAGTGATATATATGTATGTATGCATGCAAGTCGCCTGAAATGATGCAAGAATACGTGACATTGTTATGTTTATATATATGCTAATGAGCGTCTCCGTTATATTTTTCACATATATAAAAACAATCAATGCAATTAAATTCGTCGCAAATTATAAAAATATAAATGAGACTTTTCATCATATAAATACAATATGATCTTAGATTAGTCAGTGGTTGGGGTAAATGCTATTTCAGAAAGCATTAATGCATTTTTTAAATCATGTGCACAAATGTACACCTATTTATACAAAATTATTGTCAGGGGAATATAATTGAGATGACGCAGTGTTGACTGATACGCACCTTTTGGCCCGTTAATTGAGCAAACAGTCGACAGCATAGATCATATACGACGAAACAGACGACTGTCACTGTAATCGCGGTGTACGGAGACTGTAAAAACAGGAAAAAACCTGGCACGATCTCGCTAAGGCCGTGATCTGCCATTTTACGGCAAACGACGATGTTGTTTTCGTTGTGTTGTTCTTTCCAGCGATTGACCTCCTTTAGATCGGCGGCTGGGGCAGTATGAAAGGAATGGATGGAAAACACGATTTATAAACAGCTGACTGCCTCATCGAAATGCGCAGACGCAGATCTCTCATTTAATAGCCCTGTATAAATTATGTTAAAATTTGCCCGTCCACAAAGACTTTTTTAATTCAACACGATATTTGTTGTCCATGGCGTGTGCATTCGTTTCGAGTCACTAGTTTGCTCAAAACGTTTCGACTGGACACTGGTTACACACCCTGGAAACTATGAAAATAAGCTGATACCCCCTTTATAAATGTTACAATCCAAAATGATAATTTCTTTCTCAACACTATTGTATGCAAATTGTGATAAATATAATTTATATTTGTGTAAACATATTATCAGTGAGTCTCAAATGACCTATATATTCTAAATTGGATGAAATATTATGTTACATGGGATATGTTATAGCAACGTGTGGGAAGGCTGCAATACTGCTGTGGGACATATATATATATATATATATATATATATATATATATATATATATATATATATATATATATATATATATATATATATATAGTATAGTATATTTTATTTGACACTAAATAATATATTTTGTTACATTATCTGTGGTCAAAAGACATTAAATATAATAAAACACAAGTACACACACGAGACAAAAGAAAATACATAAATAACTAAAGTCTAAGTAAAATTATATAGGAAGGTAGTCGATTATTCCAGGTGAGAGTGCTTTTGGATGCTTAGTTGGATGCTTTTTATTGTCACAGCTACATGATATTTGCGGAAAAATGATCGGCCTGTACAGATATGATGGCTTAGCCGCTGTAGACAACACACCCAAAGAAACTGAAAGAATAAAAAAAGCCATCTGTCGTATTTTCAAACTACACGGTCTGAAAGTCACAATCGAAGCTAATAAAAATATTGTCAACTTTCTGGACGTCACATTCAACCTCACTGACAGCTCTTTACATCCATATATTAAACCCAACAGCCACCCACTATACGTACATAGAGAGAGCAACCACCCACCCTCCATCACAAAGAATATACCGGCAGAAATCAACAAACGATTGTCATATTTTTCATCAGACGAAAAACACTTTGATCTAGCCGCGCCACCCTATCAAACAGCTCTAAATCAAAGTGGATATGATTATCACCTCAAATGCGAACCCCCCACGGAAAGAAGAAGAACAAACAGACCTCGTAACAACATCCTCTGTTTTAACCCCCCTTCAGTAAAAATGTCACTAACAGCGTCGGGAGAAGATTCCTCACCCTGGTTGATAAGTGTTTCCAACAGGGAAACAAACTCAGGAAAATGTTCAGCCGTGACACCATCAAATTGAGCTACAGTTGTACGAATAATCTGCAATCAAAACAAACAACAACTTACAGCGGCCAACACCAATACACCCAGTACCGAGATCAACAGATTATGTAACTGCCGTAAGAAATCTGAATGCCCCTTAGACGGAAATTGTTTACAATCGGCCTTGGTTTACCAAGCTAATATCAGACGGCAAGACAACAACAAGTGTGAAACATATGTGGGACTAACAGGAAATGAATTTAAAACCCGCTACAGAAACCACACAGCATCGCTACGCAACCAATCATTGAGAAACGCAACAGAGCTCAGTAAATACGCTTGGTCATTAAAAGACAATATAACATCGATTACGACATCAAAATGGGGAGTGTTATCGCGTGCTGCACCATACAATACTTCAAGCAAACGTTGCATCTTATGTATTAGAGAGAAATATATTATAATTTTCCAACCAAATTACTGTAGTTTAAATAAAAGAAATTAGCTTTTTTCTTCCTGTAGACACAGAGCCAGTTACAAATTACAACCAAGGCCACTACTGAATGAAATCAGTAGGATAAAGTTTTGTCACGTCTCAGGGTCAAGCTGTTTTTACATTTACCCGACCAATCAGTTGACGACTCCTGAAGTGCGAATGTGCATTTTTAAACAGTAAAGTAACAGTAAAGTAGCAGTTCACTTGAAAACAATAATAAAACGAATTCCGTGCGTTGCATAAGGAAGTGAGAATTAGAAACTGTGACATATATTATATAACATGTGGTTTATCATATTTCACAAAAAAAGCTTATTTATTTGTTACACGAGCTATGTTTTGATATTTTAGGAAGTGATTATTTGTTGATGCCCCAATTACAAATTGCAGATTTTCTGCTCACGGTAAATAATCTTGAAAAAATATTGCATTGCGTTAGTCACTACTACTGCATTGTACTTGTGATACAAATATATATATTGTATAACATTTCAGCTAAGAAATACACTAGTACAGGAAATTCCAATGATAATACTCACTGTGCTTGGATCGTGTGTCTTTATAATGTTCTGTGCTTCACTTGTAAACACGTGGGTTGAGTAATCACCCTGGTATTGTTTAGAAACATCTGTTTCCTGTCGTTTTAGATCGTATCCACCCTTATGGATGTGTTTATAATAATCTTCCTGCCCAATCAGATACCCTGTAATATAACATAAATAAATACTAAGATTTTTCTCATTCTACAACATATTTGTTTTGATTTAGATTACAAATCAATGTCTGAATTGTGTTATTTTAAAACAGTCAAAGCATTTACAATTCAATCATTCAAACTCAGCATACATCATATTAAACCATATATGATAGGACAGCTCGACAACACTGCTTTGTATTAAATCTGACGCCTCACAATCACATAAATGGTCTATCAAATACCTTGTACATACCAAAAAAAGAATCAAATCCACGTCGCGTTGGAAGACACGATGGTGTGTAGTAACCCAAATGCCATTTACCAACCAAATTAGTGGAATATCCAGCTTCTTTAAGTTTTTCTGCTAGTGTCACTTCATCCAGTGGCAGACAATTTGGTTGGTCATATCGAATAACATCGTGTTGTAAACCAGTGTGGATCTATGAAATGCAAAGTAAACCTCATCTGTACACCTCGAACCGAATTAAACACTTTTCTCCTATCTTTAAAGACAAATGCATACAATAGTTTTTTTTTTCATTTGGAGGTAAGTGTAAATGTTTTTCTGTTGGTGCTCGTGAATGTGAACACCCCATCCACATTATTTCCAAAGAGTAAAATAACTCATAGGGTTTACTAGGATTCACTTAAGTGAATAATTATCAGAAACTATATACGAATCATATGTGCATACACATTCTAACATGAGCAGACCAGTTTTAAATACAATGTGCATAATGTAATTTTGTGCATGATCTTCGTTGAATACAAGATAGTATCATTTTAGAAATACTTGGGAGGAAAATAACATGTTTCAATTGCATGTAGGCTTTAGTTGTCGGAATGTGGCTGTTGTAATGTAGATGGTATTTATTAGCGTTTATAAAGGTTTATTGATATTTTAGAGGGTGTGAGTGTTATTAATACAGAATAATATGTACGGTAAAATTTCAAAACTCTACCAATATGATTTAATAAATCAAAATAGTTGTAGGGAATAACAATAATCTTTATAATAATAATGATAATAATAATGTTTATTAATAATATTAATGTTAGTAATACCTAACTAGCAATACATAACTAGTTGTGAAAGATATAGATATTAGAATGAACAACTACAAATACCAAAAAAAAACAAGAAAAAAAAAACAATTTGGATAAAAGAAATCTGAAAATAGCTTAAACAGCTAATCTAATCCGTTTGACTAGTACCAGTAAAAAAAATTGTATATAGCTCTAAACTAATGGGCAATACACCTTTTAATGACAGGTAAATAAATAACAAACACATAAACGTAATGAAATGAAATGCAAAAGTACAATGCTAGGAAGAAAGGTCAAGGTGATTTATTTTGAGTTTATTTTTGAAATTGTTATTTTTTTTTCTGTTCATAAATATTTTGCAAGATTATTCGAAGGCATAGGGCCGACATACGTTATTTCAAATTCCCCATGGATGTGTTCATTTAAGGTACAGCAAGGCCACCCATTTCCAGTATTGAAATTACGTTGGATAAGTGTAGAGTTTTCCCATGGATAAGGTCATAATTGAAGCTAGATAGGAAGAATCGATGAAGCTTAAAGATGTCACGGATTTTGAGTTATTTAAAAATCGGTGCAGAGGGCGAGGTGAAATCGGAGAATGTTAGAATTTTGGCGATAATTTTTTGTGTAGTTACAATACTTTTCAAATGTGAACAACATGTATTTTCCCAGATTTCTAAACCGTATGTGTGGAGATGCTAGATCAGTGTATTATACAGAAGTAAGAGATTGTGCCTGGTGACAAAGAGCTGCAACCTTAACAAAATACCGATTTGTCTCCTGAGTAACTTGTTTATTTACGTGATTAGTCCTAGTGAGATGTTTGTCAATTTCAACGCCAACAAATGTAACCGATTCAGCACCGTTCACATGAATAGAGTTGATGGAGAGAAAGCCTTCTACCTCTACCTCTTATTATAATCTGGTTAGTTGTAGAACAATTTATCATTAAGCGATTGGCATCACACCAGCATGCTATGTTTCAAATGTTTACTCACTGCTGTAAGATCAATATCAACGCCTGATGAAAATAATTGAAACAAATTCGAATCATCTGAAGACAACCTAAATTTGAAGAAATCAGTTGAATTTGGAAGGTGATTGATATATAAGAGAAATAGAGATGGGCCTAGAACAGAACTTTTGGGGACACAATTTATTTGTGGGTTGCTGAGAAGAAATAAATTCAAGGCATTTTTATCCATAGGTTGGGAATCTCCCGAATACCATAAGGATCTAATTTATACATGGGTATGGAGTTGTTAAATGTGTCAAAGGCCTTGGTAAAATAAATAAATACCCCCTCCCAATGTTTGTCTACCCTTGTCAATTTCTAGTAATAAATTATTTACAAGATTAATTAGGGAACATTATATACTGTAGTATAATGAATGCCATATTGATATTCAAACAAAATGTTTCGTTTCTGAAGGTAAAGTTGTAATTGATGATTGTCAATTATTTCAAAAAATATACTACCGAAATGGGCTTATTATTCTCCAGGGCATCACATCACCCCTTTTATAGATGGAAGTGACTTTTGCAATTTCGGATTGTCTGAGAACTTTCGAGAAAGATAAATTAAAAATACAAGTGCGTGGATTTGAAATAAAAAAATAAAAAAGATTACATCATCTAAAACAGAATACGAACTCGCAATCTCTGCATGAGTCTCACAGACGAGCTACCTACCAGTGAACCAATCTATTATCATTTAATTTATATATGAACATTTTTCATTGGAACTTGAAATAATGTATAATTTCAATTACATATAAATAATACATACGTACTTGGTAACGTCCGCTCATTAATTGACTTCTACTTGGTGTACACATGGGTTGAATATAATAGTTGTCCAACCTTACCCCATCATTACACAATGCGTCGATGTTTGGGGAATGAATAATATGGCTATGGTACCCTATATCATTCCACCCATGGTCATCAGAGAGGATAAATATAATGTTTGGTTGGCTTCCAACACTGACCGTTATATGAAAGCAAAGTAGTATCTCAAGTAATGCAAAAATCATTGTGTGACACTGTACGAATTAATAAACCCAGTCTGGTTTTGTCTTCACAGTACTGCTAGTATGCCTAGTAGATTGTGTCCGTCTGTTATCATAAACTATGTGATTAGTTGCTAATATACAGGTGCGTGGCTGATAAAAACAAAGATTGTTTCTTAAACAATGCAAACACATAAATCATTATGAAGATTATCAAGCGCCAGCAGTGTTTATCGTGTACCTATATATACGACAAAATAATTAAACAATTAATTCAAGTTATAGTTGGTTCATTTTTGCTCTCCTTGAAAGCATTGAAAATGTGCACATAATAATTGACCAACCAATTGTTATAGAAACTGGAATTTTAGTCATTTTCACAATGTCTGCACGTTCCATCACTCACATATTAACATATCCTTTACACTGACCCAGCGCTGCACTATTAAAGCTGAACAAAGTATTTACTTCATTCAATAAACAACACAGGGAACCTGATAAACCCGCAACAGGTGTTGTCTGATTATGCCCATGACACGTATTTGACATACTCGCAACTAAGACTGTTTGAGTAAAAGGAATAGTGCGAAGAACAATGAACATTAAACGCAGCGACTGAATGTCATACATAATAAATACAACATCGTGCAAAATCATATTTTCTAGACAATATTAATAATTTAATAATTTAAACCGCAGATATAATGTTATTAAATTGCCGCTTCCCCTTCAAACTGAACACCAGCAAAGGCCACAATAACCACACAAGTGCTGACCAATTGGCTGTTTATGAACACACCATTTTCTTTACAAATATGCTATCATACGACATTGATTATATTATGCCGAACGGCATTTCATATTTCCAAACAAAATCTATAACCACCAAACAAGGTCACAATTACTAAAAACTAATCTAATCAAATACATTTTCCGTATGAATCTATTTCTATAAACTTTAGTAATATAAACTTTGGCAATTCTTTGCTAAACAAGCATTCTCAAATATCACCAGTAAACTGAGTGGATCCACTTACGCTTCAAAATTTTGCAAGTAATCATTTGTAACACTATAAAGTTAAATACTAGTTCGTATGTAGCTCGATGGCTGCCTAATACGGATAGTGAAAATATTGCTTTATTGACAAGAACTCAATCAAACACAGATTTTATTTTTTTCGAAATCATGAGTATCGTTTATTACCAAGCAGAAGATGAATTTTCTTCAAATCCATGAATGTCGATGAAGTTTAGATAATTCCAGTGGTTAAAGTATTCATTGCCATGCAGAATAGTAGAATATGCAACAAGCAAATATGAGATAAAATAATGCGAATATTAAGTAAATTAATGCGAATATGAGATAAAATAATGCGAATATGAAGTAAAATAATGCGAATATGAGATAAAATAATGCGAATATGAAGTAAAATAATGTGCCTATGAGATAAAATAATGCGAATATGAAGTAAAATAATGTGACAATGAGATAAAATAATGCGAATATGAAGTAAAATAATGCGGATATGAGGTAAAATAATGCGAATATGAAGTAAAATAATGCGAATATGAAGTAAAATAATGCGAATATGTGGTAAAATAATGCGAATATGAAGTAAAATAATGCGAATATGAAGTAAAAAATGCGAATATGAGATAAAATAATGCGAATATGAAGTAAAATAATGTGACTATGAGATAAAATAATGCGAATATGAAGTAAAATAATGTGACTATGAGATAAAATAATGCGAATATGAAGTAAAATAATGTGACTATGAGATAAATTAATGCGAATATGAAGTAAAATAATGCGGATATGTGGTAAAATAATGCGAATATGAAGTAAAATAATGCGAATATGAAGTAAAATAATGCGAATATGAAGTAAAATAATGCGAATATGAAGTAAAATAATGTGACTATGAGATAAAATAATGCGAATATGTGGTAAAATAATGCGGATATGAGATAAAATAATGCGAATAGGAGGTAAAATAATGCGAATACGAGATAAAATAATGCGAATATGAAGCAAAATAATGCGAATATGAGATAAAATAATGCTGAAATAATGGGAATATGTAGTCAAATAATGCGAATATCAAGTAAATTAATGCGAATATGAGACTAAATAATGCGAATATAAGAATATGCGAATATAAGAAATAATACAATTATGCAAGGCAATCCGGTGATGAAACATGTAAAGAAATACGAACAAGCACGAAAATAATAGAAACATACAATTAAATAAGCAAATAATGCTTGGTTCACGGACTGATCACGTTGTACTACTAAAATTAAAGATGATGTGATTCGAGTATAATGCATAAAGAATTATTTAAACACTATTAGTTAAACGCTCTTTTTTTAAATTT